ATCAGACACTCCACGTTCATCCTTCCTGCCACTCGTGATCAGAGAGTTCTTGTATCAGGATGAGGACTCGAGGGTTTACGTTGAGACGAAACTGAGTTTTTATTCTCCACTTTGGTTCCTTTTTCCAGGTTTATCAAGAAAAAACACCTGTAAAATAAAATACTGCATATTAAACATTTTTATTTATCAGAATAAAATAAACAAACTAGAGAATATATTTTAGAATAAAATTAAGTTTTAAAGCACAAATCTATCATTTTAGGTTTGAGCGTAGACAGACAAGGCCACATCCAAGTCTGCTCTTAGTCTGGGTCTGAGTCCCAGCCCAGGACTGAAGTCAGACCCAGAGTCAAGTCTGGGTCTGAGTCCAGGTATCGATCTCTGTAATAAGAAATGTGTAAGTCATATTTACTCACCTTTGAAGAAACTCAAGAGTTGAAGCCAGCTCAGATGGATAATGTTAAAACAATAGTAGCTCCCAAACATCAGGCACAATGCAGAAATGAAGGAGGAGATGTTTGTGTTGATAAGGTTCTGATCCAGACTCAGCATGTACCTCACTGAAGAAAAGCAGGATGTTCCTATGAATACAATATTAAACAGGGTATTTTAATAAACACCACACACGACAAATTCTATAAACTACAATTAAAAAAGATATGAAACAGACAATAACAGCTGGTGTCACAGGCACTTGCTCCAGCTGCCAGACATGTATCTTCTACATAGAAGAACAAGGACTCCTCCTTCTCATCGAAGTAGCAGAGGAGGAGCAGGACCATCTCTTTCATATCATCTGAGCAGCCACTCTGCTGTCCTCGCATCCTCTGAAGCTTTGCATAAGTCTGAAGGAACTTCTTACTCTTGTTGACACAAACTTGTCATGTAGTTGAGAAGCCTTTTCTCCTTCAAATCCAAATTTCGAGTGAATGTCTCTTTAAATTCAATCCCAGTGAGTTCCTTGAAGTGGACAGACATACCGAGTTCAAACAAAAATGGCCACTCCTCTCTGAGGTATTTGATACTTTTTCCCTGGTTGACTTGTTGGCGTTGTGTGTAAAAAGTGGACTTCATTAGATTTTTGGTCTCTTTCAGATTGGCCTCAGATGAATGTTGGTACATTGCTTTGAGTTTTTCCATCTTTTGCTGCTGGCTCTCTTCAGTTTCTCCAATGGGCAGAAATTTGACCTTCCACCTACTGCACCCATACGTGTCCTGCATTTCTCTTCTATAGGGATCTCATCTGTGTGATCCGAGTCATCGGTCTCATGTCTTCTTTTTCTTATTTTTGGTGTTGAACCGTGCCTCACATTTTCAATTCTGTTTTGTAACTGTTTAACAAGGAAATGGTAACCTGTCCCAACAACATCTCCCTCTATAACATCTTGCAGAGATTTCGGATATTTTTCTACCATTTTTTTTGCAACATCAGTCGAATGCTTTTTACCTACGTGAGGGTATTTTTCTAACATCTCAGTCACAACTATTCGGACCATCTGTCTCCTCAGTTTTGGGCCTGGCCTTTTTTCCTTCTCCAGAGACTGCATCACTTCCTCAGGAAATTTACTCCATGGAATTTCAAAACTGTCCTCCCACTGTGTATCGAGTCCAGGGCTGATGATGAACTTCAGGGTGAAACTGAGAGCAAGGACACAGAGTGGGCAGGTGACTGTTCCACAGATGACAGTGAGCTGGGCTCAGGAGTCTGGTCTTAAAATAACAAAAAAAAACGTGATGAGTTGCATTGTGCATACTATGATTTGAACAGATGACAAATCCATTACATTAAAAGACTGTTTGTGTACCATCTTTACTTACATTTCTGTTTCCAAACAGAAAGAACCTTTCTGACTTGTATAGGTCTTAATGCAGTCATTAAATCAGCCTCCTGTATGAAACTTAAATCATCATACGTCTCAACTCCAGTGGAGTGCAAGTGTTCTTGGAGGAGGTTTTTGGTTGCTGCTGGAAGTTCTGGTAGTACTTCCATGATGGCATCATCTAAGAACGTTCGCTCGGTGTCACTCATACTCACACTAAAAAGAAAAAAAAAACAACAACAAAAAAAAGTCTGACTACAGTTGGCACCAACACATTTGAAAAGACGAGGCTTGTTCCTATGTACTCTGCAATCTAATACAAAGCCTCTTAATGTTTTCAATTGCTTTTTACAGAAAATGCAGGTGATCATCTTAAAAATCTCAAGCCTGTCTCTATGGTTTTAAAATTGTGCTAATCACGCACTGACTTACTGATCACAAGTTTGGACTGGTGCTAGCATTACACCATGTGCTACTCAATTTCCTTTTATCGTCAGTCAAAAGTAAATGTGAAGCTTTAAATGTTCCGATTCAACATCCACAGATCCAAAATGAGGATAATACTGTGGAATTGTCCTAAAATGAAAAAGTAATCCAAAGACGGCTCTGCTCTGGAGTTGTGCGGGGTTCAGACGCCGCAGGTCGCTCTCGCTCGCTCGCTCTCGCTCTCGCTCTCGCTCGCTCTAGTGACGTCAGCCTCAGCCGTGAATGTGGAGTGCATCCTTCTCACGCTCTTCCCGCCCCCTCATTATTATCCAATCAGAAACGAGCCTCAGCTGTGCATATTGGAATTTCAAATTAGTCGGACAGACAGTTCAGGTACAAGTGTGTGGTTCTAGAGGAGGCAGGTCAGGTTTAGCCTATGATGACACAATGCTCAAATTATTAGTACAATTTATCAATATAAATAAAAATGAGGAGGCTAATTTTAGCATTAAAATAATGCATGGATGGATTATTATTATAGTTACAACAGAACCAGTTTGACCTAAGTCAAAAACTTTGGCAGTACAGTGCTACAGTGTTCTCAAAAAAACACCTTAATATAGGGATTATGTGTTTAATCTGCTCAAAATATGATCAATATCCACAATTTCAATTTCTCTATACACTATTTTAATCTCTATATAGCCTCCACAATAGGCTGCAAATAAATGATAAAAACAATGTTATTGTAAATTCATATTTGTATTTAGACCTACATACAGTACAGGCAGTCTCCCAGATCTACAGAGCCATATTACAGAACAAAACTTTTGAAAACATTTTTATTAACTCAGTTTGCATTTTGTTAATCATGCTACAAGTACAACATAAGGCTGTAAACTAAGTTACTGATTTTTTTTTTGTATTTTCAAAAAAGAAAAAAAAAAAGTCAAAAATAATCGTTTTTACAATATTTGAATGTCTAATTAACAAAAATGTGTAGTTATGAGTATTGAAGTGTTTCTATGTTTTTGTTACTGTAATTGATCATTTTAACAAATACATTTGATTATAATCACATATTATTTTTGTAAATATAACATTTATATTTTGTTTAAAAGTACAAGTAGTTGTATTTAAAAAAAAACTTCCAAAAATAATATTTTTTTTACAATATCTGAATATCTATTGTATAAGTACTACAGCATTTCTCTGTTTTTGTTTCAGCAAATGGTATTTTTAACAAATAAATGTGATCATAATCACACATTATTTTTGTAAATACAACATTAACATCTGTTTTTTAGTTCACAAAGGTTTCCTGAGATTCATATAAAAATCATATATTTTTCATGTTACCATGCATTTCTGTAGGTATTTTACATAGTTACTATGTCAATTTCACCGTCATTTTTTACAGTGTATGTGATCCATTTTTGGGCTTTAAAAAAAACATCGTCAGGATTGAGGAAACATGTTCTGTAAAACCTTTGGTAAAACATTTCATCATGCATAAAAATGAACGTCATCAGTGGTCGGCTACAGCCTCAGCTCCTGCGAGAACAGCTGCAAACACAGAACCTGACACTCATACGTCGAAGAACTGAACCTGTGCATCAGCTGAACACTGGGGAGATCTGAACGTAGTGGACGTCTGTTCATTTCTGCACAGGCCGTTGCACACCTCCATTAGCCTGGACAGGAGTGAACGTTCTATACGGTTCCTCACATTATTGTGTATCACGTTGATTGGTGTGAAAACAAAAAACACCCAAACTTGTTGAAACTAGCCCAAACATCATGAAAAATGAAAGTGAAATCAGGTTGGCACATTGTTTTTGGTGAACAGAGCATTTTCAAAACAATAAAAGGTAACACAGTGATCTAAATATATTATGTATTTGCAGTTAATACCCCACAGAAGTGCAATATCTCCTTTTTAACGCTGCTGAAGTTGTTTACAATGTGTACTTTGAACAAAATTATACTTTTGAAACATGCATTACATATCTTAAGAATTACATGTCAGAAAAATAACAATTAGATTTCTTTTCCTGCACTGCACTGGTTGAAATTTGGCCTGAAACGCAAACTTTTATGTTTTAGGTCGACTGGTCCAACCACTGAGCCCCAGCTGCCCCCACCCTGATTAACTGTTCTCTTTCTTTTTTCAGGTTCAAACCAAAATGGATCTTCGAAAGCGGACGTCGGTCGACAGAAATGGATGCCTCAAACTCTTTCCTGGGAGTATATTTTGCGCGATCTCTCTCCGGTTTTCTTCACCGTATTCATGTTTGGATTCTAGCCTAAGCCATGGTTATGTTTGCCTTCAGACAGAGGAACATTATGGATTACCCTCTGAACACACTGTCTATGCGGATTATAACAGAGTGGACATGTCATCTCTGTTACAGCAATGCATTTTCTGGTGAATAAATGACTCTGAAAATTCATGTTAGTTGGCAAATGCAAGATACAAATTGTCAACAATTCTCAGCTCTGTAATTTCTTGAAAATTTTTTTGTCATATGTTTATATTATATTTATAGCAATGTCTGAATGTAAAAAATGTGATGATGAAGCTGGAAGAACACTGGTGGTTCGATAGCAGTAGGACTACGTTGAATGTTGAGAGCAAAGTTACAGTTCATGTAGACTTCTAACGAGTCAGTAGCTGAAGAAGACTGAGCTGGAGGTCTGGAAGATCAGTTAACGTTCTTGTTTGAGATGTTTACGCCGTGACGCTGGAACATTATGGATTACCCTTTGGAACAATCTTTGGACCTGCTATCAGAGCGGCCCAGCCTCTCTCCCCTCCCTCTGCTCGATAAACCTGGGGTGAACCACACCTCCACCGCCTCTTCTCCACTCCTCCCCTCTGGATCTTCGTTAACCCTTTTACCAAACTCCTCCTCCTCCTCGTCCTCTTCCTCCTTACCTTACCACTTGCTCTCCTACACCTTCTCGCCTAACGACTTGGCCGACCTGGAGAGCAAACTCCTGTGGACCCTTCACGAGCCCAGCACCATCGCCCTGACCGCCATGTACTGTGTGTCCTTTGTCTTGGGGTTCATCGGAAACCTGATGTCCCTGCGCGTGCTGACCAACCGGCACAGTCGGCGGCTGGCGGGGGTCAGTGCCACGCGGAACCTGCTGGTGAACCTGGCGGTGTGCGATCTGGCCGTGGTGTGCGTGTGTATGCCCATCACCCTGGGGAGTCAGATCTACACGGTGTGGGTGTACGGAGACTTCCTGTGCCGAGCAGTGCCCTTCACACAGGTAAGAGGCAACACTACGTCTGATTTTAGAGATTTTATGAGCAAGAGAATCAAATCAAAACCACTTTGTTTGTCCCTGAGGGGGCAGTGTAAGCACACTGAGCAGTAAAATACAATTTAAAAAAAACTTAAACAAAAGTCTAAGAAGAGGAACAGCCCTCAGGACAAAAGTGTCCTGTCTCGTCTGTGTCCTCTGTGTCCTGCAGCATCAAAGCAGCCTCCAGGGGGAGCCAGGTCAGGCCAGATTGTTTCAGTCGGTAATGAGACAGGACATTTTCTCAAACTGTTTCCTCCAGGACGTATTCTGTCATATTTGCTGTAGATCACCTGTTGTGTTGTTTAAAAAGTCTGTATCATTTCAGAACTGGCCGGATTCATCATGGATACAGAAAAACAAACTGCTCCAATCACATAATCCATTAGTCCTTAACTTCCATCCTTTGCACATACTGCACTTCTTAGTTGGTCAAAATCCACAAATAGTAAGTTAAAAATGTAACATAAGTTAAAAGAAAAATGTAAAAACTGCATAGTGTGTCAGTCAGTTATTCAATATTCACATGAGACGCAAACACATGATATTTAACTGATTAGAATAGTTTGGATTTTGGATCCTACATGATTTGACCTGATTTAAAGATCCCTTTTTCAAAAGAGTTTACTTTATACATGTGACTGTTGTAGAAGTTTTCAGCTTGTACAAAAAAAAAGAAAAAAGGGTGGAGTCTGAAGCAGGAGAAGTTTATTTACCATCAATAATACAGACCTGGAGAAATTGAAAATTCAACATAGTGTGATTTCAAAAGAGAACATAGTTTGATCATTGAGTGTTCAAACCCCTTGACTCTGTTTCCAGAGGAGGAGGTTTATAAAGGAAGTGGTGAGATGATGAAAGCCAGTGAAGCACCGGTTAGACAACAACATGCCACTGTTTAGATCACGGTGCTGATGATGTGCCAAGAGAAGACCATGGTGTAAATACAGCTCTTGTGAGTCAGTGTTAAACTGGGAGATGTAGATGGAGGATAAATTGTGTGTTGTGTTTACACTTGTGTTGTTAAAGAGCAATGAGACCAAAAATCATGTCTCACAATAACATTTGTAATGGATTATTAAGTTATTCTTAGTTACAAAGACATTGAACATGTTGGTCAGGTTGATGTTTCCAGTTTCAATGTTGAAATCCAGTGTGTTTAAACCTAAAGTGTCTCTTTCTGATCTGACTGGTCTCTCCCTAAACCCCAACACCTGCACCAGTCATGAGTCAGTGCTAGTGCAGCCTCTGCAGCTCAGGGAGGGAGTTCTGGAGGTTCTGAGCTTCACATGAGACATGGTCAGAAAAGAAAACCGTGGATGTGTCCTCTATGTGCAGGTTAACACTCTGAGAGTCCAGCTCTACTGTTCCTTCCTTTAATAATCCAGCATTAAAAATGGAATGTAAATAATGACATAATTTCTACATAGTTGAACATTGACATTTGTCTTTTTTAATTGTAGTTTCTAAAGTGCCTCCCTCCCTCCTCAGGCCATCTCTGTGTCGGCCAGTGTCCTGACCCTCACAGTGATCAGTGTGAACAGATACTTCAGCGTGCGCTCTCCTCTCCGCGCTCGCTCCATGTTCACACGGCGTCGGATCCTGCTGACGGTGGCTGTGGTGTGGGTGGTGTCGTCGGTCATGTGCGCCCCACTGGCCGTCATGAACCGCCGCAGGGAGATCAGCTTTGAGACCTTCGCCATCCTGGTGTGCCACGAGGAGTGGCCCGAGCAGCGCCTCAAACAGGGGTGAGTGCCCACTGACACACGGCACTAGACCAGGTTTGAAAAGGAAATAGTGCACACATCAGAACAGCAACTCACAGATCCATGAAGAGAGGTTTTTGGTAGTATTTATTCATAATCATTAAATGTAAGGCAGTGATGGATACAAATGATTAGGATCCTTAAAATGACCCATAATGCCCATAATGCACAGTGACGATGTTAAAGGAAATAAAAAAGAAACATTATTCTTTAATGTAATGTACTGTAATGTAAAAATGTGTATGAAAACAGTAACTTGAGTTGTATAAAAATATAACATGTGACGTGTCTCTGGTCTCCTGCTGCCCTCACTGCTCCAGGCTTTAGTTTGATCCAGAACCTGCCCAAAGAGCACATGTCCCTGTTTTCTGTGCTGCAGTGTGAGCTCTGGAGTGTGACATGTAAACAAACAGTGGTCAGTGATCAGTGTTGGGGAGTAACAGACACTGTTGGGCAAGTTACTTTGAAACTGTAATGCGTCATTTATTACCTATTACTGTCATTTCAAAGTAATTCGTTACATTACAATATTACTGCATTTAAAATGTAAGGCATTACATTACTATTGCATTACTTTAAGTTACTCTCACCAAAATAACTTTTGCGCTGTATATGGACTGAACCAGGACTAAACCAGGTCTAAACCAGGACTAAACCATAACTGAACTAGGACTAAACCAGAACTGAACTAGAACTAAACCAGAACTGAACTAGGACTAAAACAGGACTCACTGTAGGGACAGGCTAGAAGGTGACCGCAGGAGAAAGGAGCGGCTCTGCTCCGCACCTCACGGAGGTAAGAGCGGCTGTCACCCGATCGCTCTTTATTGTACCCTGCTGCTCGGGCTCGCGGCCCTGATTTCAGCAACTATTTGCAGGTACCCGAGCCGGTGCAAGAGTCTGTTACAGCGCGTAACTTCTACCTTCCTTCAGCGTGTCCAGAAGTCCACCTTTTTGTGTGATGGTTTGCATCTTCCTCTGCCTTTTGGGTGCGAGCGCAGGAGCCTTTGTCGGTGCAGAACGTTTCGTCGACGTTGTGGGTTTCGTCGGGGAGAAAACTTCCAACCGTACAGCACTTCAGAATCACACTGCTAGAGACTGAACATGTATTTAAATTTGGAAGCTGAACACATTCTGTACTGTACTGTACAGGAGACAGGAGTCCCTTGGCCAGTCAGGACGCAGCGGGAGGAACGCAATACGCATTCATACAATGTAAAAAAAAAAAAAAAAAAAGGGCATGCAAAATTGCACAAAAAAAAAAAAATCTGCGAAACAGCGAGACCGCGAAAAGTAAACTGCGATAGAGGGAGGGACGAGTGTAAACCAGGCCTAAACCAGAACTGACCCAGGTCTAAACCAGGTCTAAACAGCGTGGAGTTCTTTGTCAGTCCTTTCGCCCGCGGTCACCTGAAGCTCTACGAGGGCGCATCTCCGGCGTTTCACCGCTGCTGATATCGAGGTGATTTTAGCGAATTTGTATGAAGAAAAACTCACCACTTCAATCCAGGTTAAAAAAAACATTGTAACGCGCGTTACTCACATTTGTACCGAGTAAAATATTACTATTTTTTCCCCTGTAATGCCTTACATTACTGCGTTACAGCAAAAAGTAATGCATTACTGTAATTCGTTACTTTTATAACGCGTTACTCCCAACACTGGTAACAGATTACATGTAATCAGAGTACAAATTATGAGTAACTGTATTCAGATACAGTTACTGTTTCAGTGAGTGGATTACAGTTACTTTGTTAAAATAAATGGATTACATGGTGGTATTTTCCTGTCACATTTTCACATTTTGGGCTAAACCAGGACTAAACCAGGACTGAACCAGAACTGAACCAGGTCTAAACCAGGACTAAACCAGGACTAAACCAGGTCTAAACCAGTCTAAACCAGGACTAAACCCGGACCTGTCGCTTCATCTTAAATTTGACCAAATTTTGAAATTGCTGAAAACTTGCTGTCTCCAAACAATCTGAGACCACCTTTGCTGCATTCAAACCAGAGTTCAGTGTCAGTGCGTCCTACAATTCAACCGTCCAAAAAGACTCATGGGCGTTAAAAGGTCAATGTGAAAATCTACCGTTGTTAGGCCTGTAATGATAACAGATTTTGCTGGATGATTCATTGACCAAGAATTTATTGCGATAAATGACCAATTTCAACTAATATAATGACCATGGAATAAAAATACAAATATGCCATTTCAAAGATCAATAAACTTTACTTTCTAAAGAACATTTAACAAAGGAAGTCTAATACAGCCAAAAACAACAGACCTAAATAAAACAGACTTGTTAACACAGGACTAGTCGAATGTGTCTGGTTTACAGCAAAAACTTGTTCACAAAAATGCACTTGAATAAACCATTGCTGAACCAAACACAACCAAAGCATTAAATAAAATGGATTATTAAGTCTCTGTAACAAAATTGCCCTTAAAAGTGATTTTAGTCATTGTCTTACATTGGAATATTGTGTCTTGTCTCTCTGTGGCTGCTGCTGTGAGACGCTGCATTTTGGTCATTTAAATGTTCGTATGAACCCGCGACACAGGATGTTATTTCTCTATGAGGGAGCCTCTGTCCTGACTGATATCGTGTTGGTTTCTTGTGGGATTTCGGGTTCTCCTGGGGGCAGGGATAGTTGTGTTATTTGGGTTTGGGTTTATCGGCTGTTGGGGTTTGAGTAGTGATGTTGAGATGAAGCCCCCATGAAGCACTGAAGCGTTCCAGCCATTTGCTCGACTCTTGAGCCGATGCTTCAAGGTGCTTCATTTGCTCCACTGCAACATCAAGTGTCCAAAAAATGTAAAACAGGCAGAGTGAAAATAGAACAATCAAAATGATCATGGAGGTTCTGGTGGAAAGATTTAAACTGAATAAATGAACAATTAAATAATTGAATGTTTGTGATTGCAACATAAAGTGTGAATGTATTAACCTGGAGTCTGTGTTCATGATATAACTGTCGGGTTAAAAGAAAAAGTAGGAACAAACTGGAGATCAGGATGTAATGTGACTGTGCTTGTGTTACTACTTTACATCTGTGCTTATGCCACAATAAGAACGGCAAGATAGGGTCATTTTATTAACTTTTATTTAAAAATATCAATTTCTCGACAGTATTTGGACTCAGACGGTTTCTTTTTTATGGAGAATTTCCCCTGCTTTAAAAAAATTAAAAAAATAAATTAAAATCTCAAATAGAATGTACCAAACTCACAATAACCCAAAACCACAGAATGTTTTGGTGGAATCCGTTGTGTTTCACTTGCCGCTGTTTCGAATCGCACCAAATCCGCGAACCACTTCCTGAAGCAGTCACGTGGTACAGCCGGGCAGCGAGGCTTCGGATGTCATCATTTTTGGCTCCTCCCCCAAATGAAACAAGCCTCGATACACGCTTCGTGGAAACACCCCCTTCATTACTCAACACAGGCTTCGAAGCCTCGGCACATCTCGTAACATCACTAGGTTTGAGGCATTTCTTCTCGTCGTTTGTGCGCTCGCTGCATTTGACACATGTGGCTGTTGAGACGTGTCCCGCTCACCTGTGTTGATTCGGCATCGTGACTTGGTTTTGGGGCACGGAGATGAACTGTTTTGGTTCTGACAGCGACGATTGTGTTGCAGCTTCATGTTAAACTGCACAGACAGCGGCGCTTTCTGCACTCGGGCTACGCACACATCCACACAGCACACGTTGGTTCAAGCGTCATTCCACTTGTTCAACGAGAGGAGTCAGAGAGCGACAGAAGCTTCTAACATTCACCCTCTTTGAGAGCGAGAAAGAGCGAGAGAGCAAGGAAAACAAACAAACATGCAAATAGAATTTATTACAGCCGGAAAAGTTATCGAGCTTGTTAAAAGTTATCGTACGATTCATTGATTTATTGATTATCGTTACAGGTCTATCTACTGTTGTTTGTAGAACACGTTTGTCTTTTCCTGTGTCTGTGTGCTGTTTTGTGTCGGACACAGGACAGGCCTAAGTGCAGAGCCGCTGTCCCTGTCACACTTAAGAGGAATTAACACAACGCACCCTTTAGCACAAGCTGCTATAAATAGACCGAGCTGTTTAAACTCAGCCAAAACACGATTTGGCAGCAAATAACAGTAAATAATGAAAATGAGAGCTGACCCTGCCACCACCCCGGCCCTCATGAAGATCACCTTCAATAAAACACACAGATTTAGAAGGGTATTTAATATGAGCAGAACTGAAATCTTGGTTATTTGAAAGATTTGTGTACAAGTGCCTAAAGTTGTCCTGTAGAAGAGTGGATTTCTTTATACGTATTTTTAGGGTGACCATATTTCCGTTCATGAAAACCCGGACACCTTTGGGGGGAGGGGGCGGGGGGGAGGCCTCGACATTGAGCTACAGTTGTCCCTCGCTATATCATGGTTCACCTTTCACGGTCTCACTGTTTCTCTGATTTTTTTTTTTTTTTTTTGTGTGCAATTTTGCATGCTTTTTTTTTTTTTTTTTTTTTACAGTGTATGAACGCGTATTGTGTATTACAGGCGGGTAGTAAATACACACGGGTGGGTCAGGACGAAACCAGGTCTAAACCAGGACTAATCTTGGACTTAAGAGAGAAAACGCTGAGCAGTATGTCGCAAAGCACGATCGGGCAATTGCCGCGTTTACGTCCGTGAGGTGCGGAGCTGAGCCGGTCCTTTCTCCTGTGGTCACCTCCAAGCCCGTCCTGACGGTGAGTCCTGTTTCAGTTCTGGTTTAGTCTTGGTTCAGTCCGTGGCATAGACAGCGCAAAAGTTTGATATAATCTTGGGTTAACGGCAGGTGCGGTCCTGTCCTGCGCTGCTGCGGTGTTGTACTGCAAGTCTCCAAAAATGGCCCCGTGCAGGACTCTGCACTGTTGGGCTCCATTATGGAATAAATGAATCTTCAGTTCGTTACATAAAGAAGGAGGAAAATAACAAAAGGACGACAGCAGAAATAAGTTT